TGGTACCTTGCAATTGAAAATTGATTGCTTGGGGTAGTACTTCTCCTTTAGTACTCTACTGACTAACAGATTTGGCTGTGTTATTAGTTTCCAGATCTGTTTAGCCAATAGAGCCTTGTTAAACAGCTTCAAATCTTTAAATCCCATTCCTCCATTGCTTCTCTTAGCTGTCAACTTCTTCCAGCTTATCCAGTGCAACTTTTTTTTCCTATCAGCATCACCCCACCAGTAATCAGCCATTTTCGAACTGATTTCTTTGCATATCTTGTTGGTTAGTCTGAAGCAGGCCATAGTGTAGGTAGGCATGGCCATTGCCACAGCTTTAATCATTATTTCCTTCCCTACTTGGCTTAACAACTTATTCCTCCATCCTTTCAGTTTCTTATCTATTGAGTTTCTTATGAATCCGAATACCTGCTCTTTTGATCTTGTTATTACCATTGGTAACCCAAGATATTTGCCCCGTTCAACCTGTTTAATGGATCCTATCGCCTGACAGACTTCACTCTTCACAGATGGCAATGTGTTTTTGCTGAATAAGACTGAGGACTTTTCCATATTAATGAATTGCCCTGTTGCCTCTTCAGACTCTTTGAGGATCTTTTTCAACTTCTCTGCTTCTTGTTTGTTAGCTTTACAGAATACCAAGGAATCATCTGCAAAGAACAAATGAGTTATTGTAGGCGCCATTCTGCTAATTTTTATTCCTGTCAGTTCCTTGTCCATCTTAGCTTTCTGCAACAAATTTGATAGTCCTTCTGAACAAAGCAAAAACAGGTATGGGGATAGTGGATCGCCCTGCCTGATACCTCTTGAGGGGGTGACAAACTCCTTGTGCTCACCATTAATATTGAAGGAGTAGGTTACTGTACTTATGCATGCCATGATCCAGTTTACCCAAGTTGAACAAAAACCCATTTTTTCCATTATTGCCTTCAAAAAGCTCCATTCCACTCTGTCGTAGGCTTTAGACATGTCCAGTTTCACTACCATAGAGCCACTCTACCTTGCCTTTTGTTTTTTAGATAGTGCATCAACTCATGAGAAAGAATGACATTGTCTAAAATTTGCCTACCTGGTACAAATACATATTGGCTTTTGCTGATGCATCTACTTAGGAAAGGCTTTAGTCTGTTAACAAGGATTTTTGCTAACGCTTTATAGACCACTTGACAAAGACTAATAGGCCTATACTGATTGATCTCTGTAGGACAATCAACTTTTGGGATCAAAGAGATAACAGTATGGTTTATGGCTTTGAGGATGACTCCATGATGGAAGAATCCTTGGATTGCATTTACCAAATCCTTTTTAATAAGACTCCAGAATTTTTGAAAAAAAAGGGGGGACATGCCATCATTTCCAGGAGCCTTATTAGGATCCATTGAAAAAAATGCATTCTTTATTTCATTTTCATCCACTTTTTTGGTCAAATCCTTGTTCATATGTTCAGTTATAGTTAGAGGAATCCCCTCTAAGATCTCCTCTAGCTGCCCATTTGCTGTCGATTTGAACAGGTCCACATAATATTTGGCTATTTCCCCATCCAGTTCTTCGTCATTGGTAGTCCATTCTCCACTCTCCTTTCTCAAATTCTGCAATCTATTCCTCTTCCTTGTTCCTTTCACCGTTGCATGGAAAAACTGAGTATTTTTATCCCTTTCCTTTAGCCACCTCAATCTTGACTTCTGATTCCAATAAGCTTCTTCCTCCTCATATGCCTTTTTCAATTGTCCCTTCATTTCCTGTACTTGTTGCTTCTTGTTATCTCCAGTAGATGCCTTGATTCCCTCAATTTGGTTTTTGCACCATTTAATTTTTTCGGAGGAATTTCCTTTCTTGCTACTGCTCCACTTTAGTAACTAAATTCTGCAGTTCTTAATCTTCTCTTTTACCTTAAACCACCTTGTTCCAGCACATGGAATGTCCCAGGCTTTCTTAACCACTTCCTCTACCTCACTTTGTTAGAGCCACCTCTTATCAAACTGGAATCTCTTTTTCCTTTGCTTACTGTCCTTCTGAGTTTCTAGTAATAGCATACTATGATCAGAAGCTTGGGACTCTATATGAGTACAGTTGGCTTCCTCATAACATTTGGACCATTCTAAAGTGCATAACCCCCTGTCCAGTCTTTCTTTTACCTCTCCAGGCCCATACCAGTTGTTGCTCCATGTCCACGGCTTCCCTTCATAACCCACATCTACCAACTGATTATCATTTATGAATTTCCTGAAATTTTGAAAGCTTCCATTATCTCTCTCCCTTCCACCCCATTTTTCATCATTTGAAGTAATGTCATTAAAGTCTCCCATGATTATCCATTTTGCTCCCCAGATTGATTTCCTTCTATTTATGACTTCCTATTGATTCCTTCTTATCTGACCATCACAGCTAGCATATATTCCAATAAACCACCATCTTTCCTTTTTCTCTTCATCTTCCACTTTTGCCTCAATAGTGAAGGCTGTTCCTTGAACGTCAGAGATCTTCACCCCATTATTCCACAATAAGGCCATGCCACCAATTTTGTTCATTGCTTCCACTATAAAGCTATTTTCAAAATTCAGGATTTTTTTACTTTTTCCATGTAATTTTTCCTATTTTTTGTTTCACTTAGGAAAATAATATTTGGGGAAAGGAGTCTGTTTTCCTCCTTCAGATGGGGAACTGTCAAGGGGCTCCCAGCACCTTGACAGTTCCACACCAGAGCCCTCATGTTTGGTTGAGAGACCATGCTGGGCTGGCCTCTTCCACCCTCTTGTCCCGGCCATTACAGGTCTCCCCATTCCCAACTTTATTCCTTTTGGTGGTTGTATCCACATCTGTCGTCTCTATCATTTCCTCATCAACAATGTGAAGTTTCCTCTTGGTGTTCAATCCAGATCCATGTTCCAAGTTCTGCAGTTCTTTCAGGGGGGTTCTATCTCTTGCACCTATTTTGTTTAACAGTTTCACCTTCCTCCCTCTTCTTGTTCCTACACATTTAGTTTGAACAACCTTCTCGCCATCCACTTCCATAGCTGTCTTCATGCTTACTCCTTCATCCATCCCATTAGTTTGAATCCTGTTCCCCATCTCTCCTGATACTACATGTGGCTCCATTGCAATTATCTTCTTCCCATTCTCACTTGATTCTGGTCTAGATGTCTGCTCTTCATCTTTGCTCACCTCCTCCACCATCTTAGACCATTCAGTCTCTTGTGCCTCCTGTATATCCTCATCTTCTTGACCTGAATTCTGAGCCTCTCCTTTGCCCTTTCCAACTGACCTTGCAACACTAATTCCTTGCTCATAGATTCCATCACTTCCTTCTCCTTCCGAGGTCTATTGAGTTGATCCCCCTGTACAACAAACTTCCCGCCACTCTTCTTGATCCATTCCCCATTATGGAATCCCCACACTTGCTTATCTGGGGTGAATGTACTAGTCATGTCATCTTTTTGAGGGGAATTCTTCCCCACCTGAGCCCTCAACCATGGTCCAAATTGATTTTCTTGTTGCCCTTTCCTGATGATTACTACATTCTTGCACTTCTTTTCACTGTGGCCAATTATGCCGCAATTGTAGCAAAAATCCGGTACCCTTTCATACCCATCAAGTTTTCTATTTGAAAAGGCAGAAAAATAGACTATTTAAATATGTTGACATTTCTACCCTTAATTTGTAAGTTTATCTTTAGTCAAATTGATTCTATAGAATCGTAAGTCATAACACCAATTATGTAATAGAATAGTCTATGATATATATTATTATGTAATATATTATATAATATATATTAATACATAAAATTCGGTAATTGAGCCGGTAATTGAGAATTTAGTAATCAAATATTAATATTCGATATCTAATGCCCTCAGGGGCTTGGTCTGGTGGTTGAGGTTGCTGAAGATGGAGCCTCAGGTCCCTGGTTCAAATCTTGCTGCCAGCAAGTTGCTGAGGGTGGTGAATAGTCTGCGGGGTCCACTCCCTGCGGGACACACCTAAAAAAAAAAAAAAAAATTATTCGATATCTAATCTAGATTGGAATGGCCAATTTTTCGATTTTTTGGAAGTTTGAACACCCCTAAATGAGTGCTGTTTCTAAAGAAAACCTCTAGTGCTAATTCGATTATCAATAAATGTCTTTATAAATTACCATTATTTATTAGCAGTAAACAGTATGTTATTAGTCAACAACAGAAGGGTAAAATTGTCAACATATTTAAGCAGTCTATTTTTTGGCATTTTCGAATGAAATACTTGCTACAAATACTAAATAAAATATTTTCAAATGCGTAAAGTGTCTATTGTTTTCATTGAGAGTAGCAAAGTGTTATTACACCCCACTTTGGTTGAAGCCACAAAGTGTCATCAACCCTTTAGAAAACGGTACCCTTTAGAAAATGATAACGCACTCCCGCCTCAGCGAGCACCACCACCTCCACGATCACCATCAGCTCGTAACTAAATCCATACTCATATCCACTATCGGAAAAAACCCTCCTCCGACCTTCATTTCCAACTCCCTTGCTGCTTGCAGAGTACAGTTCATATACCAAATCCGATGCAATTCAAATTTAAAAAATGTTTTGCTCTCAAAAATGATAGCCGAAGATCCGGCGACTTCGGGTTGGCCTGATCTGGATCATGAACTGTTCTCTGCAATCTGGCAGTACCTAAGCCTTCTAATGATTTTTTGGTCTGTAGAGTTGAGTTTGTGGTGTCTGGCTAGTTAATTGAGTAACCAGTTTATGGTTTTTTTCGGAAAAATTATCAATAATTTCTACTTGTTTACAACAATTGATGTAAGCCGTTGAAAATCAGGACAGAGTGATAGAAGAAACCAACCGTTCTGATTTCTGAATCCACAATTCAGGCCTAACAAAGTATGAAAATCTGCATTAATAAAATAAGCCTACTGGGACATGGATGGAATATATTATCCAAGAATACCGATTAAAATAAGTTTAAAGAAGGTTGAACTTTTTAGCATGCATTAACAGTGAGGTACAATTGTAATTATTGAGGCTCCAGTTCCATTATAACGATTCCTTGTCCACTAACTTGACTGAATAATAAACGACAGAGATCGCATCACCGTCTCATTTTCTTCTTGATTTCATCTGTCATGAGCGGAAGCAGTGTTCTGGAGCCCCAAACTCCACTTCTGGAGACTGAAAATGAAGCAGTCCATGGTTATGTTGACTACAAGGGCAGCCCAAGTGGATGGAGATCAGCATCTTTCATGCTAGGTTAGTATTTTATCATTGAAGGCTAAAGTTTTTTAAGCATTCTTTTTTTTTTTTCTTTAGTCCAATATTCTAAGAACTAGTGATGATTAAGAAGCAAAATAAAGCGTATTCAGAACTGAAGCTGATCACCAGTAGAAGTTTTTTGGAACTGGATTGATTGAGTTGACTGAATCAATCTACAGCTGGAGGATCCCTGGAGAGATTTGCATATTATGGAGTAGAATCCAACCTCATTAGCTATCTCACCGGACCAATTGGAGAATCCGTGGCAACAGCGGCTGCAAATGTCAATACATGGATTGGTGTTGTGTCGCTTGTGCCAGTTTTAGGAGCATATTTGGCTGATTCTTTCCTCGGCCGCCATAGATCAATCATCTTTACTTCCCTTCTCTACATCTTGGTTAGTTTACAATTTTTTTCTTTTTAGGAATTGTAATTGGCATTCTTATGTTTGTTAATGGCACTATCATTCAGTTGCCATTTAAATTACAATTTGATTAGAAAAAATGAGATTATGAGTGGTTGTGATACTAGCATTCTTGTTTAATTCATATTGACAAGAAGTCCACCTATTACTCTCTTTGGCGATAAGGCTGAAAATTTTGCAGGGACTCGGTCTTTTGAGCCTGTCTGCAATAATTATTCCAACATCTGCCAGTAGCTCAACCTATCAGGGCATGAACAAGAAATCAGACCCGGATACTGGAAACCAAGTTTTGTTTTTTGTATCACTTTACTTGATTGCATTGGCTCAAGGATATAAACCATGTGTTCAAGCTTTTGGAGCTGATCAATTCATTGAAAAAGATCAGGAAAAGGGCAAAGCCAAGAGCTCGTTTTTCAATTGGTGGATTTGTGGCATATGTATTGGTTCTATAGCAGCACATTTGATCTTGCACTATATTCAGGATAACATAAATTGGGCAATTGGTTTTGGGATTCCATGTCTTGCTATGGTTCTTGGGCTGATTCTGTTTCTACTTGGAAATAGAACTTACTTTTTTGCTGTTAAAAGAGGTTATGAAGAGAGCCATCATGGGAGGATAAATTGGGGCAGAGAAGAAGTGGATGATGCCTTGCACAATGGACCGCTAGCATCAAGCGGTCAAGGACAGTGCAAAGAATATTTGTTGTTGAAAACTCCACAAAGATCTCAAGGCTACAGGTAAGGAAACATTACCAGACCAGAGAAAAATCCATCAAAATCAGTGGATTTTCTGACCATACAATAAACTATGAGTTCTTAAATAAATCTTCCTAATTAACTTGTCTGGTATCCAGAGAAGGTAGCTCACTGTTTTACCCTTTAAAAAAGCAAAATGAAATAGGTCCTTTATTTTCCTTTTTTGTGAGCAGAAAACAGTTCTGCATTGTTTACAAGACCTCTTCAATAGTCTTCTCATCTTTTTCTTTATTAATTTATATTCGATTATGTCATTCAGTAAATGATTACATGGAGAAGTAGGTAAAGTTCTAAAATGCAAATTCATTGCTATGAATTTTTCATACATAATAGTGATTTTAAGGATACTTTTACGGACTTTAGTTACAGTCTGTTATAGTGCCTTGCTGACACACACACACAAAACTTCGGTTGGTAATTCCTACCATTGCTGGTCAAATTTGGTGATGCTTGTTGAACAGGCTTCTGAAGGATATATTGCCTGCAGCAGATGATTATTCAACTGATAACATTGCACACTCTAGCAAAAGGAAAGAGCAAAAGAATGTTATAACGCTGCTACCTGTATGGATCACTTGTTTAACATATACAATTGCATACGCTCAAGCCTCGACAATATTTCTCAAGCAAGCAACAACCTTGGACAGATCAATACGGACAAATTTTAATATTCCAGCTGCCACACTTAAGACTTTCATCCCCCTCACCGTAATGTTCTGCATTCCAATATATGACAAAATTTTCGTCCCAGTTGCCAGAGCGATTACAAAATACCCCACTGGTATAACAATGCTGCAAAGAATAGGAGCTGGGATGGGCATATCAGTTATTACAATGGTTGTTGCAGCTCTAGTCGAAATGAAAAGACACAAAACTGCTGAAGATTATGGTTTAGTAGATATTCCCAATGCAACACTTCCTATGAGCTTCTGGTGGTTGGTTCCTCAATACATACTCTTCGGATTTGCAGATGTGTTCATTCAGGTAGGGATGCAGGAGTTTTTCTATGATCAGGTTCCTATTGAATTAAGAAGTGTAGGCCTATCATTTCACTTTGGCGCCTTGGGAATAGGGAACTTCTTGAGTAGTTTTCTGGTCTCAATGATTGACAAAGCTACAAGTCAATGGGGTAGAGTGAGTTGGTTCTCAGACAACTTAAATCATGCACATATTGATTACTTCTATTGGCTACTTGCTGGAATAGGTGCTGTGGGTTTAATCATTTTTGTCTATATATCAAGATTTTACAGCTATGTGGGGCAAAATGATGACTAACGTGTTTCTGCTGCAGTCATGACATGGCCGTAAAATCGAAATTGTACTACAAATTTTAATGATAGTTTTGGAGGGCATTCCAAATGCGAAGTCTTTCACAAGATTGAAAAACTTTCTTCTGTATTTAGCTGTTCATGAAACTTAATCACAGTAATCAATATCAATTAAAATCCCATTGCTCCTATGAGCAATGCTTTTTTTTTTTTTTTACTAGTAATATGCCACCTGTTGAGTCTCTTATTGCACCTCCGCCAGAACGATATCACAGATTATTACCTTTAAATGCTCCATTCGTTTTTAACTTCCAAAGAAGAATGGGTGGCGGCCAACTCCAAGAAATGGTTAATATTTCTGCAGGCTTAGTTTCAAGAAGCTTAGCAATGAACGCCCCTCAGACCAATTTTACCTGAAGGGATAGGAAATGGAGACTGTGCATAGGAACAAAAGCACAGCTTCACCATGAGATTGTAATTTGATGTACTGAAAAGCTATTAGGTAATTTTCAGCTTCACCATAGATATGAAAACAACCTTGTAGAGAATCTTTTATTGAGTGAACTCTCTTATGTTTCCATTTCCAACATCCCCTGATTCACGAGGAAGTCTAGAAACGACAAAACAAACTCCTGATTCATGTGGAAAACATTAACACCAAGAAGAAACAAGCTCCTGATCCACGAGGAAATTTAGCCAAACCTAAAAAGTCCCTGGTCAAGGATATACAACTTTTTTTTGTTTAAGATGGTGACTGAAGTAACCATCGATACCTTTCCCTATAAATCTTTAGCGTTGCACACTGAGTCATATTAATTAAAATGAGTCTAAGAAGGCTGAAGTTTTATGCAAGATTGAGTAGTTACGCCCATTCTGAATTAATTATTATCACAAATATGCTGCTCATCTACTTCACCAAATAATACAAGGCTAAGATGGCATCGTATAACCAAAAAGGAACGCTCAAGTACAAATTTCGCGTTTTTCAACAGTATTAATGTGCAGTGAAATGGAAAATCTGTTCATTGTTAGCATACAAGGAGTTCTTTTTAGATGTATAGAAAGGAAACAATTAAAGAAATTCAATTCAGAACTGTAATAAACTTTCTTGCAATCAATGTAGTTAGGGATCAACCTCTCCTAGCTCATAGTGATTCCAAACTGGCCTTCAGACGGCCAACTCAACATCTTTTTGTTAAGTAACTTTTACTATGCTTCCTGTTCCACACACCTGATTCAGGAGGAAGGCAGGAATGAATAAACCCAGGAATGTATAAACCTGATTTAAGTGGAAAATCTTTAAAAAAAAAAAATACAAACTTCCTAATTGATGAACATAACCATTTCACTTTTAACTTGGCCTGGTCAATGACAGGAGAGTAGTATTTTGTTTTATCTGAGGGCTCAATTTAATTCTACCTACCTAAGGAGTACCAGGTGATTTGGCGTAGAACATGCATTTAAATTGAATCTTGCAGCCCTACTGGGATTTTCTTCTGTTGAAAATATTAGGTGCCTTTAGTAGCAAAGGTTTTAATGTTAATAAGAAGTGCACGTCTAAGTGACTTTATTTTAACCCACAACTAAGCAGAGTTTACTTAGGCGAAAAGAGTTTAATTAGACGGATACATAACCACTGAGTTTGGTCAGTAGCCACTAGGTGAAACTTAAGTTTCTTTCTAGGGCATCAGTCAAGGTTTGAATCCTGTCAACATCATCTCCGCCAAAGAACAACAGCAGCAGGAGGCGTCCCCCCTTCCCCACCATTCCCTTTCCCAAGACCTCTCCTCGTAACTTGTCGTAGAATAGGATTTCAAAAAAAAAAAAAAAAAGGTGGATACATAAAAGTGAAGAGCTTAAATATTAGGGGTCATTTGAGCATTTGTAGTATTTACTGTCTTTTTCGCTAAATCAACAAAAGTTTTGAAGATTGTGAGAAGAAAGCTTAAACTAACAATTGCCTAAACTTATAACTGGAGACCAAATATGTAGAATGAACCTGCTTCAGTTTTTATCTACCAGTACTGTATTCAACTAATTTTTCAGTAATTTTGAAAAGTATGCGCACATTGGATTTTTAATATGTCTTTTTTTTTTTTTTGTGGTTGGTCCCATTTTACTTCCATCATGTTTTATTTCTCACAAATTATTCTGCAAAAAGAAATGCTCAAAGCAGCCAATTTTGCTAGGTCTTTTTCCATGGGAGGAAACCTCTCTCTAGTTTTTAGTTTCTCTTATAAGAATAAATTCTCTCCTGGGGTTTCCTGATGAGAGATTTTACTCCCTTAGAATCTCCTAGTAAGAGTTTTTTCTCTCTTAAATTGTTCTAATGAGAATTTTATTCTCTCCTAGGGTTTTTCCTTGTGAGAGTTTGTTTCAATTTTTAATATTTCCTATGAAATTTGAGATTTTGGAGATCTAGTTTCTCCTATCTGCAATTTCTCCATTTATTATTATCAGATCTAAACTTATCTTTGAACTTGAACCAGTTTTTAATCAAATCTGATTGTTAGAAAACATGCGCAGATCTATGGGATTACAATGATTCATTTGGACAGAAAATATGTTGGAACTTATCTTTATTTGTATTGATCTTTTCAGATCTATTGCATATATTAATTTCAAATCTCTATGTATATGTGTCATGTTTGATTTGATGTCTTTCTGCCATTAGTAGCGTAGATTGTTTAAATGAAGTGATCTTTTCTATCAAGAAGGGAAAAGCAGCCAATTTTGCTATGATATTCTCAGAACTTTATCCATCTGAAGCCTCAAATTAATTTTGAGAGGCAAAGCTGGCTGGCTCTTCATCTAGAATTGAAGGAGTTGGAGATTGGAGAAAGATCAAGGTCCAACGAATGATGGCAGCAAAGTCAATTCCAACATCTCGTTTTTATCTGTTCTTGACAACTTCCAATAAACACATTGATTAATTCTTTTAGTTTAAAATTTTTTAACATAAATGGATTTTGATGAATATTGAATAAAAATACCATGTTATGCATCTAGTCTCTTTAGAGTAAAATCACAGTCTTTGAAAACTTAATCCTATTATATAACCTCGTGGTTGTGCAAGAATTACTTGCTTCCCAAAATGGAAGAAGTTGCATGACCATAATTTCCAGCATTTTATCCACTTTCTTCAATCTCCCTTCCTCTTACTTCACCAGTTAGGGGACTTCAAAATGCATGATATGGAGACCTGAACAGAACATCTACATAATTCAGTCTATTAATTCCATGCGGATATTCAATTCATGGGATCGGATCGCATATGGATGGCAAGCTTACATGATTGGATACTTGGAGATATCGAAATCCAATTCTCTTAATTATTATTTTTTTTATTTTATACAATAAAATTTTAACATTAATACTCATTAATCTGTACTAGCTTCATCACTTTGTTATCATTGCTTATGTCTAAATTTTCTTTCTATGCTAGCATTTTTGTGTGAGGGATTAAGTTTGTAAATATTGGCATAAAAATCATAAACGAAGTATTCAATTTTATTTGTTTTGAATTGGAATACAACTCTGTCAAAAAATATATATTAAAAATGCTTTGCATTTTGACAAATATTTGTTTGGTTAATTCAATTGGACTAGAAATATCCATATTATTAGTATTTACATAATTTTTGGGGTATGCCTATTCTCTTATGGTCTCATTCTAGTTTTTAAGACCTATAAAATAAAAATTAAAAATGAATAATGGAATTAGATCAGATATCCAATTGATCCGATCTACCAGAGGGACAAGAGAGCCCTTCCCCCAAGTTTTAGACATTTATAATTTTTCTTCTTAAAATTTTAGAAATTTTGAAAAGTACTTCTTATGAATTTTATACTGTCTGCCCCCAAAATTATTTTTTTAAAAAAATTATATTATTTCAGAAGTTTATATATACATGCATTTCACCACTTCAAATTAAAATATCTGGTTCCATCCTACCTACCACCAGCTCTAAAGGGAGACAATTCAGGTAGCCAAGATGTCTTTGTTGGTTCTACAGATGGAATCTTGATGAGAATTGAGAAAATAAGTGACAGTTGGAATTATTTACCCATCAATTTAATAGAAAAACAGAACCTTGGTCAGGGATTGAATACAAAAACACATTAATTAAAACAAGTTTAAGAAGCTCGATCTTTATCAAAGTGCAAGTAATTGATGCACCATAAAAATGATTAAGGGCCCATTTCCCTATCAACTTTTGTCTTGAATGGTTCCTCACCCGCTTGACCTAATCATGAAGGACAAAAAGATGCCGTTAACGTTTACTTCCCCACCAAAAGGAAAAAGAAATGCCATTACCGTCCCATTTTCGGTTTATCTCTGCTGTGATGAGTGGAAGCAGAGTCATGGAATCCCAGATTCCATTCCTCTAGAGCAAAAATGAAGCAGACCATGGTGATGTTGATGACAATGGCAGCCCAGGCGGATGGAGATCAGCATCTTTCATGCTAGGTTGGTAAACATATATATTGCTGAAAGTTTTCTTAAGAATGTTTTCTTTTGTCCATTTCTCTAAGAACTAGTAACAACTAGTAAGAAGAGTATGCGGAATTCAAGCTGATCATCAGCTGAACTTCATAAGAATAGGAATTTGATTGAGTTGGCTGAATTTAATCTACAGTTGGAGGGTCTCTGGAGAGGTTTGTGTATATTGGATTAGAATGCAATCTCATAAGCTATCTTACCGGGCCAATTGGAGAATCATTGGCAACAGCTGCTGCAAATGTCAATACATGGACCGGTGTAGCATCACTTGTGCCAGTTTTAGGAGCATACTTGGCTGATTCTTTCGTTGGCCGCTACCGATCAATCATAGTTTCTTCCATTCTCTACATCTTGGTTAGTTTACAATTTTCTGTTTCAAATTTCAGAATTTCAAGCACCTGTTATTGTCTGAGGTGAAATTGGTTGAACATTTTGCAGGGACTCGGTTTTTTGAGCCTGTCTGCGACAATTATTCCTACACTTATTAATAGCCCAAGGTACCAAGACATGACCAAAAAATCAGGCCCGAATACAGGAATCAAAGTTTTCTTTTTTGTTTCACTTTATTTGGTTGCTTTGGCTCAAGGATACAAACCTTGCATTCAAGCTTTTGGAGCTGATCAATTTGAGGGAAGATATCCAGGACAGAGCAGAGCCAAGAGCTCATTTTTCTATTGGTGGCTCTGTTGCCTATGCATGGGTTCTACAACATCACACTTGATCTTGCACTACATCCAAGACAACATAAATTGGACAATTGGTTTTGGAATTCCTTGTCTTGCTATGATTCTTGGGCTTATTGTGTTTCTACACGGAAGAAGAACTTACATCTTTCCTGCTAAGATAGGTGATAAAGAAAATAACAGGTATGGATATAACTAGACCAAGAACAAAAAAATCCCTCAAAGTCAGTCAGTGGGTTTTATGATGCTACCTAATTAATCTATTCAGTCCAGATAACAAATCCATTAACTAAACTTCATGTTCTATGAATGAATGTTGTTACAAGTTTAGTGTCTATATTAACACCGTAACGCTGCAAAGAACAAGCTTTACTAATCTCTGCAATTTTTAGTCTTATATTCTAGTGCTGCATTTTTCAAACAGGTTACTCAAGGATGCATTGCCTGCAGCAGATGATTGTTCAATAGATAATAGTGTAATATCCACCAAAGCAAAAGAGCCAAGGAACGTTCTCAGGCTGCTTCCTGTATGGATCACTTGTTTAACGTATACGATTGCCTATGCTCAATCCTCCACATTGTTTCTCAAGCAAGCAACCACATTGGACAAATCAATTGGTCCAAGTTTTGACATTCCAGCTGCCACGCTCAAGACTTTCATCCCCATTACTATAGTGTTGTGCATTCCCATCTATGACCGAATTTTCATCCCAATTGCAAAAAGGATTACTGGAAATCCCACCGGCATAACAACGCTGCAAAGAATAGGACCAGGGATGGCCATTTCAGTCATCAACGTGGTTGTTGCAGCTCTAGTAGAAATGAGAAGGCTCAAAACTGCTCAAGATTGTGGTTTGGTAGATATTCCCAATGCAACACTTCCTATGAGCTTCTGCTGGTTGGTGCTTCAATACATATTATTTGGACTCACAGATGTTTTCAATCAGGTAGGAATGCAAGAGTTTTTCTATGATCAGGTTCCTACTGAGTTAAGAAGCGTAGGCCTATCATTTTACTATGGTGCCATGGGCATAGGGAATTTCTTGAGCAGTTTTCTAGTCTCAATCATTGACAAAGCTACAAGTCAAGGGGATAGAGAAAGTTGGTTCTTAGATAACTTAAATCATGCACATATCGATTACTTCTACTGGCTGCTTGCTGGAATAGGTACTGTGGGTTTAATCTTCTTTGCGTATCTATCAAAATTATACAAATATGTAGAGCAAAGAGATGACCAGAACTGTTCTCAAGGGCGTTTAGCTGATAGATCCATTGGTGACTTGTAGGAGTTCACTTGGATATGTAAAACAAAGATTATGCCCAAAGGATAGACTGCTGCATTGGGGATTATCTAGTATTTGGTCTTAAATGTGTCATTTAAAGAGCTGCAGCAGAATCCTCAGATCTCTTATTCTTCAACTGTCCAATTTCTGCTAGCAGTCAGTGAGGGACGGAAAGCAAGCAACCACATTGATATAAACTTGAGTTAATCTTATATACACTGATAGCGCATACACTATCACGGTTAGATGCATGATATATATGTAAAATTTGAATTTTAAATTCAAATTCAAATTATATATTATTCATCTAATAGTGAAAGTGTATACATTGTTGATGTATAGAAGATTAATTCTATAAACTTGGCAACAGTATGTGGTGAATTAAAGTTTGTATGTACAGAAGTTTGTCTACATGCAGAGGTTCAATGGTGTAGTGATCAGTCTTCAACAAATACATATTTTAACCACATCAAAAAGGTTGGCATGATTTGCAGCTATGGATGAGCTATGGAGATCAAGGATTTTTTGTATTTGCAGCACCGGACATTGCTCTGCTTAGGCAATTGTGAATAGTCTTCCCAAAGCTACTTGATATATAGCTGCCTCATGGAAGAATCTGAGAAGAATGAAGGTGGAAATGGAACCTAGCCACGTTTGGGGTTATTTTAGAATTGTATAGCAACATAATGGAATTTTGTGTGTATTTTTGAGCTCTCGTAGGTCTCAAATTTTACAGGCTCTATTTCATGATTACCCAAAGAATTCATAGTTGGCCTAAAAATTGTTTGTCTAGGATGGTTCAATCCTGGATTTTGAGAGTGTACTTTAACGGGTCAAAAGTGGTGGATCAATTGGATACAACATGATCCAGCATTGTAATCACAATGAATGTGGTTGAATAGAGTATTATTTGAAATGTCGTTTGGAATAATTACTGTAATAATTATCTGTTATGATGTGATGTATGTGACATAAAAAAATATTTAAAAATATAAAAAAAATGATTGAAAAACGTGTTTATAATATAAGTAAAATAATTTTTGAAAAATTTGTGTTATAAAACTAATAAAATGAAATACTACAATAGGAATTGAAGAAGGAGTAAAGAAAAGGAGAATGATATCCTTATATTTCAACAAGATACAAAAGTCATCTCAAAGGGTTTCAATGTACCTCTATATATAGGCACTACAAAATTAAAGGTACATAAATTCTATTAAACATCCACTACTACAATAATATGAAAAAACCTATGAAACGGTTTCTCCACTACATGAATAGATTTATGAATTGTAACTTCTATACATAATGTAATCATAAATCATGAATTAATCCTCTTGAAAATACAAAGGGACATTCATATTTTTAATTGTTTCATAACACTCCCTCTTGGATGTCCATTACACAAAGAATATGCCTCGTTAAAACCTTACTAGGGAAAAACCCAGTGGGACCAAAAACCCTAGTGAAGGAAAAAGAGTACACTATTCTTGTGTATTAATTTCTCCCCCTGATGCAAACATTATTTGAGATCTTTTAATCGTCGCATTCCAATATTCTTTGCCAATTGCACTGAGATATGGTACTTCAGGACCAAGTATCTCTTCATCTTCCTCTCACGATCTAAAAGGATCTTTATTAGGATCTAATGATCTGACGATCATTGGAATACTTAATATATGTGTCTTATCCATATAAAACCGCTTTAATATCTTCCGGATATATGCAGTTTGGTGGACAAAAATTCTACATTTCAAATGCTCAATTTGTAAACCAAGGCAGAATTTTGTCTTTCCAAAATCTTTGATCTCAAATCTTTTTCTCAAATATTCAACATTATTTTGAATCTCTTCAGGAGTTCCAATCAAATTTAGATCATCAACATATACAGCAATTATCACAAAATTTGATCCATTTTTCTTAATAAAAACACATGAACATATTGGATCATTGGTATAACTTTCTTTTGTCAGACATTCATTGAGACAGTTATACCACATACGTCCAGATTGTTTGAGCCCATACAGAGACCTTTGTAATTTAATAGAATAAATATTTTTAGGATTTGATTTGCATGCTTCAGGTATGTTGAATCCTTCGGAGATTCTCATATAAATATTATTTTCAAGATTCCCATATAAATATGCAGTAACGACGTCCATTAGACGCATATCTAATTTCTCATGTACTACAAAACTTCACAAGATATATAAATGTAATAGCATCCACTACAGGTGAATACATTTCATTATAATCAAATCCAGGCCTTTGTGAAAATTCTTGGGCTACAAGTCTTGCTTTATATCTCACAATTTCATTTTTCTCATATCTTTTTCTCACAAATACCCATTTATATCCTACTGGCTTTACACTTTCAGGTGTTTGGACTATAGGTCCAAAAAACTTTTCTTGTAGCCAGTGAGTTCAATTCAGATTGGATCGCATCTTTCCACTTTGGCCAATCATTTATACACCGACATTCATCAACCGATTTAGATTCATGATTCTCATCAACTTCTATAATATCAAGTGCTACATTTTATTAGGCTCCAATTAAATTTTTTTTTTATGATTTCATTCTCTTCAAAAATTGATTCTTCAGGAGCAACCTCTTCAAGAGGTTGAATTTTGTCATGACATTTAATCTCCGGAGATATTTGAAATCAATTTATATCTTATTTAAGTAGGCCAGCCTTAAATTTATTTGTAGCACTTGTGCATGTCCTTTAGGGACATCAATTTTAATCAAGGTATTTCCTGCAGGAATAATTGATTTAATAACTCTTCTGGAGTCGATATATATCTGACAACTGATTTGCAATTTTCTGCAAATGAATAATTTCTTGAACTTTCAGTTCACATTATTTTGTATGAGGATCGAGGAAATCCAATTTTTCAGGTGATTTTCTTTCGGTTGATTTCTTCCTCCCCCTAATGTCGGGAATCGTAACTCATCAGAATAAATAAATCATTTAATAGATCATTCATCAAATATTTTACGATATTTAATCGTAAAAAGTGATTCATACCCGACATAAATTCTAAATTTCTTTTGGAGCCATATATAATATAAAGGGGGTATGTATAAATACTTGTCGACTCTCAAATATTCTCACTTTTGTCAAATCATATATCCATTGGGATCAGTAAACTTCTGGTTTGCTGCAATTGATGATTATAAATCAAAATGAGAATGAAGACAACTATATCGATAATCATTTCTCTCTCGAATGGTTATTATAATATAATTAACCTTTATCTCACTTGATTTCTAAATATGATCTTTATTATTGTCTCATTTAATGTCTTAATTTGATATCCATTTCAACGGATATTCAAATTCAATAAATTTTTCGAGACATGGTAAAAAGTAGTACTTTATTCATGATAAACTTTTCTCCTACAGGGAGAAATATAGTAGTGGCTCTTCTGGAACTTTCAATCACTTAAGCACTAACACTAATTGTGTTTGTCTCTTTTGTTGAAAAATAGTGTATATAGTAACACTTATTAATGAGACACATATCATTATCACCATAATTCTTATGGGACAAATATCATCACTATAATTCTTTGATCCCAAATGTTTAACATCTATTTCTTCTTCGGGAAGAAAAACTAATTAAATCAATCATCATACACCTTCAGGGTGTTTAAAGAAATTGGCCATGTGAAAATGCTATTATAATTTTGATTCGTCAAATGTACTTCGGGACATTTATCTTTAGGACCTTTATTTTCGTGTCCTTATCATTATTATCCCATTTCAAGTGGTAACTTTTTCTCTTGTCATGGTAAAATATATATTTACCAAAATTATAATCATGGCAACAACCATAACTAATAAATTGAAATTTAGTCGCATTCACTTCTGGGAATGGACTAGAACTAGCATGCAATAAGTACAGAATACTTCTCAAATTTCTCTTAATATTGCTACTACAGGAACATATTCGAGAAACCAATTGTGGAGAATATCATTTTCAATTAAGAAATAATTCTAAACATAGTAAAATTGTGTACTTGCAGCCATAAGTAAATTTATCATATCAGATTTTGAAATAATGACCATTTTCTGGTGGCCAAATATTTTCGTTAAAGAACGACCATCTTCAGGTGATCGAATCTTTTTCTTTAAATATTTCAAAGGACAAGTAGATCCTCAAATATAATTGATTTTCTATAATAGCATCTCCAAAATTCATTGCATCAGAATATAAGTATTTATAACAAATAATTCTAAAGATAAATAAGTAGAATTAAAGGGAGAAATTACCTCAAAGATATCAAACAGTATATATTTGTGTTTAATGATTGCTCAGCAATAGACACTTGTATTTTTTTTATCATTCAAATGTTAGCCATAAGAAATTGAAATAAATTTATGTGTCAAAAATTTACCTCAATAAGTAGACAGAAGTTGCCGAAAAAATACTGGCAGAATCTCGTGTTTCACTTTTACTCAAGGTAGAGGCTCCGTTTTCACCTTTTCCTCAAAAGTAGAGACTCGTGCTGATAACGTGTTATAAAACTAATAAAATGAAATACTACAATAGGAATTGAAGAAGGAGTAGAGAAAAGGAGAATGATATCCTTATATTTTAACAAGATACAAAAGTCATTTCAAAGGGTTTCAATGTACCTCTATATATAGGCACTACAAAATTAAAGGTACATAAATTCTATTAAACATCCACTGCTACAATAATATGAAAAAACCTATGAAACGGTTTCTCCACTACATAAATAGATTTATGAATTGTAACTTCTATACATAATGTAATCATAAATCATGAATTAATCTTCTTGGGAATACAAAGGGACATCCATATTTTTAATTATTTCATAACAAATACCTACTTGAACCAACTATTTTATGTGATTAGATTAAGTTTGGGCTTCATTGTTAAAAATGCTCAAAATTGCGTTGCCTGGATCAGCTTGCCAAATTCTCTGTCTCATAGGATATGTTAACTGTAAGACCTTTTAAACCTTGGCAAAGAAAAATACTTTTTAACTTTTGCCCATTGAGAAAAAGCTTCATAACTATTTAATAAAAATCTTACATCGTGGCGTGGCAATAATGATTTATATTCAGAAAATCTTTAATCCAAAATTTATATTATCCAATAAGGTTTTTAAAATAGGCTGTTAAATTAATCAGACAACATGATTATGCAAATTTTGCATCTTTAGCAATTGGGTTAATTTCATTTTGCACCTTTGTATTATACCTCAATTAAAAACTAATCAATAACTCGCCTTTTTAATTTTAAAGATTTCCATATTCTTGTCTATCATTTAAAAATATTGAAATTTAGAATCATTTTTTACGGGTAGACACCTAAACTTATTCCGCTATTGGTGTCGAAATCCAAATTACACTGGGCTATGACTTTACATCATGGCCCATTTCCAATGGTAACGTTGGATATGTTCCCTTTGAGCCTCAGTCTAAAGACAAAATCAAACATGGGGTTTGTGTGATGACTTTGGGCCTTGATACTTTTTTTCCCTTTGTCCTTTCTTTTGTTTCCAAATAACCCTTTTCAATTGAACTAATATTAACTAGAAAAAATTGTCGGTTGCATCATAAACATATTTTTTAATCATCATTTTATTTTATAAATCATCTTCTTATCTTATACACATCAAATTAATGAGTTTGTTTTGATCGGAGATTATTAGAAATATATTATTTATAATAATTACTATAGCGCTTTTTGTAATGTGATATTTGTGAGATAAAAATG